CAGCAAAAACTATGGATATTCACAGAAATTCTGTTGTGCCAATTCAACTCAAGTTTTGCCAGCAAATGAGTTCAGATCAGATGAGCTTTGGCTATCAAATTAGTTTTTTAAAGTTCGGTTTGCTGAGCTTGTTGGATTTAAATCACACCCTTCTAAGGGCATTATGTAGGTGACTTACTCCAGTGTGCACAGTAACCTTATGAGATGGATACTGTTATAATCCCCAGTTTACAGAGAGAGAAACTGAAGTCCAGAAAAGGTGAGTAATTTGCCCACACACACACAGCTAGTAAATGGCAGAACTGGGATCTCAACTCAGAGATCTTACACCTCTTACACCAGGGCAGTTCTTAACTGCGCACCTCATCAAGAGATCTTACGGATTTTGTGAACCTGGATAGGAAAAAAATCCTTATATTTATTTTCATTGCCTTATTACTAAAATTTAGCATTCTTTTCAATTATGAATGGAGACAAGAAGCCACAGCAACATGGGCAATACCTATGACTGTCACCCATAGGAATCCCAGGTCATTCTCACTGCAGTCGTAGCAGATAGCTCGAGACACCATTTATGTTCAGCCGCACGCTGAAGTTACAGGAACCCTCAGATCCACCGCTTGATGTTGCCATTGAATGCCTTGAAAAAGCAGCACATATATTACTATGTCACAAGGTGTTTTAAATATTTCAATAATTATAGTTTGATATAATTAATTACCTTTGTGTTTTAATTTATGCATTTAATAAAAACCACTTTGAGAAGGGATCCATGGCTTTCACCAGACTTTCAAAGTCTGGTGCCAGGCGCGGTGGCTCAAGCCTATAATCCCAACACTTTGGGAGGCTGAGGCAGGAGGATTGCTTGAGGTCAGAAGTTCAAGACCAGCCCCGGGCAACAAAATGATACCCTGTCTCTGCAAAAAAAAATTTTTAATTAGCTGGACATGGTGGTGTGCGCCTGTAGTCCCAGCTACTCAAAAAGCTGAGGCAGTAAGATCGCTTGAGCTTAGGAGATGGTGGCTGCAGTGAACTACGATTGTGACACTGCACTCTAGCCTGAGCAACACCGTGAGACCATGCCTCTAAAAAAACAAAACCTGAAAACTCCAGAGGGTCCTAGGGCCCAAAAAGGTCGAGAACACCTGACTGAGAGCTGTGTTTTTTCTTTTCCTTTAACTTTATTGAAGCATAATTGACAAATAGAAATTGTATAAATGTAAAGCATACAACATAATGATTTGAAATACACACACATTATGAAATGATTACAACAATCTAATTAATGTATCCATCGCCCCACATAGTTATCTTTGTGTGTGTTGCAGCAAGAACACTAAAGACCTACTCAGCAAATTTCAAGCACACACTGGATTATTAACTGTAATACCCATGCTATGCATTAGGCCTCCAGAATCCCGCGTAACTGAAACTTTGTTCGCTTTGAACATCTCTCCATTTTCCCTACTCCTCAGCCCCTGGCAAATGCTATTCTACTCTCTGCTTCCATGGGTTCGACTTCTTTGAGATTCCCCATGTAAGTGAGATCAAGCAGTATTTGTCTTTCCGTGCCTGGCTTATTTTATTCAGTATAATGTTGCAAATCGCATGAGTTTCTTCCTTTTTAAGGTTGAATAATATTCCACGGTATATGTATAAATACCAGACTTCTTTCTTTCTTTCTTTTTTCTTTCTTTTTTTTTTTTTTTTTTTTTTTGAGACAAAGTCTCACTCTATCACCCAGGCTGGAGAGATCTCAGCTCACTGTGGCCTCTGCCTCCTGGATCCAAGCGCTTCTCTTGCCTCAGCCTCCTGAGTAGCTGAGACTACAGGTGCCTGCTGTCAGGCCTGGCTAATTTTTGTGTTTTTAGTAGAGATGGGGTTTCACCATGTTGGCCAGGCTGGTCTTGAACTCCTGACCTCAAGTGATCGGCCCGCCTTGGCCTCCCAAAGTGCTGGGATTACAGGTGTGAGCCACTGTGCCTGGCCAAAAAAATAAAATAAAATAAAGTTGTTTGAGTTTTATTATTGTTATTATTATTTTATTTTTATTTTGAGATGGAGTCTAGCTCTGTCACCCAGGCTGGAGTGCAGTGGTGTGATCTTGGCTCACCACAACCTCCACCTCCCAGTTCAAGCAATTCTCCTGCCTCAGCCTCCTGAGTAGCTGGGATTACAGGCGCCTGCCACCACGTGCAGCTAACTTTTGTATTTTTAGTAGGGCCATGTTTACACTGTGTTGGCCAGGCTGGTCTCGAACTCCTGACATTGTGATCCACCTACCTTGGCCTCCCAAAGTGGTGGGATTACAAGCGTGAGCCACCGCGCCCGGCCAAAAACAAAAGGTTTTAAAGGCTCAAAATCAAGAGGCTGCACAGGTGGCTGAGTGAATTGTTATGGAGATAATCAAGCAATTACCACCAATTTAGAATTTGTGTTATCTTATATCCTTCTTTATTTTTCAGACAGTGTCTCTGTCACACAGGCTGGAATGCAGTGGCACGATCATAGCTCACTTGCAGCCTCAACCTCCCAGGCTCAAGCCATCTTCCATCTCAGTCTCCTGAGGAGCTGGGACTACAGGCATGCACCACCGTGCCTGGCTAATTAAAAAAATTTTTGTTTTGTAGAGATGGGGGTCTCACTATGTTGCCTAGCCTGATCTCAAACTCCTTAGCTCAAGTAATCCTCCTGCCTTGGCCTCTCAAAGTGCTGGGATTACAGGTATGAGCAAATGCACCATATTCTTTATTTTTTTTAGAGATGGGCAACTATGTTGCCCAGGTTAGTCTTGATCTCCTGGGCTCAAGTAATCTTCCTGCCTCAGACTCTCAAGTAGCTGGAACTATAGGCGTGCACCACTATGCCTGGCCTGGCTATTCTTTTTTTTTTTTTTTTTTAATCTCTGTAAACTGTCTTAATTTTTTTTTTTTTTAAAGGAGGCATTGGCCAGGCACAGTGGCTCATGCCTGTGATCCCAGCACTCTGGGGAGGGCAAGGTGGGTGAATTGAGTTCAGGAGTTCAAGACCAACCTGGGCAACATGGCGAAATGCCCTCTCTACCAAGAATACAAAAAGTTAGCCAGGCATGTTGGCATGCGCCTGTAGTCCCAGCAATGCGGGAGGCTGAGGTGGGAGGATTGCTTGACCTTGGGAGGCAGAGGTTGCAGTGAACCAAGACCATGCCACTGCACTCCAACCTGGGTGACAGAGTGAGTTCCTGTCTCAGAAAGAAAGAAAGAAGAGAGGAAGGAAGGAAGGAGGGAAGGAGGGAAGGAGGGAAGGAGGGAAGGAGGGAGGGAGGGAAGGAAGGAAGGAAGGAAGGAAGGAAGGAAGGAAGGAAGGAAGGAAGGAAGGAAAAGGAAAGGAAAGGAAGGAAAGAATAGGAGGCATATGCAAAAATGATGGACAGATAAATAATAAAACATGCCAAACCTTTATCCTGGTTCATTCTACTTTCCACACACCACATTCCTTGCAATTCACTTGCCCCCATTTTAGAGATGAGAAAACTGAGGCTCAGCATGGACGCATAGGTTGCTTATCTGAAGTCAGCTAGTGTGCCAATGTTTGAGCTGGAACATAAAAGTTCTGTCCTTTTACTTAATGTAAATACTAAGAAAGGACAATGTCTTTCATGAAATGAACGCGTTGACTCATTCTAACTGTCTAAGTTTTATAAATACCAATGCTATAAATTGTGGCGATCAGTGGGGCCCAAAAAAGTCTCCAGCTTTCTCAAGTCACACAGCAAATTGGTGTATGAAGATGGACCTTGGGGTGCTCTTTTACTGTCCTCCATGACTCTTGGATCTACCTTCTGGACTCTTGGATCTGTTTTCTGAGTTATCCTTCTCTCATGAAAGGCAGCTCATGTTTGCAGCCGAAGTAGTTTGCAAGTTGCTTCCTCTCTATAAAAGTTTGAGGGCTTAAAGAACTTTTTTTTTTTTTCTTTGAGACAGAGTCTCACTCTGTTGCCCAGGCTGGAGTGCAGTGGCACGGTCTTGGCTCACTTCAACTTCTGCCTCCTGAGTTCAAGCGATTCTCCTTGCCTCAGCCTCCTGAGTAGCTGGGATTACAGGCATGAGCCACCACGCCCAGCTAATTCTGTTTGTTGTTTTTTATTTTTTATTTTTTGTTTGTTTGTTTGTTTTGAGACACAGTTTCACTCTTGTCGCTGAAGCTGGAGTGCAGTAGCACTCACTGCTCACTGCATCTTCCGCCTACCGGGTTCAAGTGATTCTTCTGCCTCAGCCTCCTGAGCAGCTGGGATTACAGGAATGCACACCAAGCCTGGCTAATTTTTTTATTTTTAGTAGAGACAGGGTTTCACCATGTTGGCCAGTCTGGTCTCGAACTCCTGACCTCAGGTGATCCACCCACCTTGGCCTCCCAAAGTGCTGGGATTACAAGTATGAGCCACCTTGTCTGGCCAACCTATAGACATTTAATTTCTTCTTTCTTCCAATAATCATGGACTAAGATGAATACAAACCTGTGTTTTCACCCCTGGGTGGGTCTTATGGAGGATCGATTGGAAATACCTCCTTACAAATTTCATGGTCTTTTGTTTTGATACCAAAAGTCTTGCCTGACAGTGTCTATGTGATATAAGCATAACTAATTAAAAGGTAGATTTACTTAGGCGACCGTTTGTTTGGATTACATGACAAATGGTTGACTGATAATTTGGCCCTAAATTGACTAGATGGTTGGATTGGGATTTTTTTTTTTCTTATTGAATTGACAAGTTGTTTTGGAGGCATGTGGACACCATCTGACCGCTACATCTCATGGGGGGATATTTAGCTAATGCCAGGCTTTCCAGATGTCAGTGAAAATACGTGCTCCAACGTGTATGCAGACTGCTCTGCCATCTAAAGAGAGACATTTGGAACTGATATTGGCATTTTAAATATATGCTCTAAATTCATTCTAATCATTACATTTTTAACTTAAAAATGGATCCTTATTAGGTTTTTTTCTCATCTTAAACAGAGTCAGGCTTGGTGAAAAAAAGTACTTTTGGTGAAAGAGTCCAGACATGCACAACACAGAGACTGGAGATCTCTCAGTCTGCCTCTCGGATCATCAGTTTCCAGTGAGTTACCATCGTTTATTTAAATGCTTTACACTGTGATCCATTGAAACCATTCCCGCAGCGGAGGAAAAAAACAAACAAAACAAAACCCTTATTTAAACAAAACTAGATCCCTAGTATGTGTTAAAGATGGTTATTTCAGCCAGGCACAGTGGCTCACGCTTGTAATCCCAGCACTTTAGGAGGCCGAGGCGGGCGCATCACGAGGTCAAGAGATTGAGACCATCCTGGCCAACATAGTGAAAACCTGTCTGTACTAAAAAATACAAAAAATTAGCTGGGTGTGGTAGCACGTGCCTGTAGTCCCAGCTACTCAGGAGGCTAAGGCAGGAGAATCGCTTGCCAACTGGAAGGCTAGGTTGCAGTGAGCCAAGATCGCGCCACTGCACTCCAGCCTGGGCAACAAGAAGAGCCAAACTCCGTCTCAAAAAAAAAAAAAAAGATGGTTATTTCAAGGTGGGATTATGGGTGATTATTTTTCTATTTCCTGTTGTTTATATCTGCACTTTCTCCAACAACATGTGACTTATATATTTTTAAGTTATAAAGAAAATAAAACGGCTGGGCGCGGTGGCTCAAGCCTGTAATCCCAGCACTTTGGGAGGCCGAGACGGGCGGATCACAAGGTCAGGAGATCGAGACCATCCTGGCTAACGTGGTGAAACCCCGTCTCTACTAAAAAATACAAAAAACTAGCCGGGCTAGGTGGCGGGCGCCTGTAGTCCCAGCTACTTGGGAGTCTGAGGCAGGAGAATGGCGTGAACCTGGGAGGCGGAGCTTGCAGTGAGCTGAGATCCGGCCACTGCACTCCAGCCTGGGCGACAGAGCGAGACTCCGTCTCAAAAAAAAAAAAAAAAAGAAAGTAAAACGGTTCAAGTAGCCAATTTATTTCATTATATGCATGAATTTGTTGTGGTTTGTATGTGAACCAACTGACCATAAGTGGCCAGCAAACTGCAGTGGTAAAATGTACACACTCAGCTTCTAGTCTCACCTCCATGAGGTTTCTTGTTTTTCTTCTTCTTCTTCTTCGTTTTAATGGTATACTTTCTGGGAGATCTTAGCGTGTCAAAATCCTGTTTAAAAAACTGACAATTAATCCAGAGACCAAGGAAAGCAAACTCTGTGTAATCTATCACCTTCCCCAGAACAACAAACACCATTTTGACATGGTAGCTGCCCCCCGAAGATGTCAGTTCAATAAACATGCTATGAAGGCAAGATTTGAAGGTACTCAGTTCCACTATTGTTTTTTTTTTTTTTTGAACGGTCTCCTCCCCCCGGAGCAGTCATCTCAGCTCACTCAACCCCCCCTCACACCATCCGCCTCACCTCCCGAAGGCACGCCCCCCCCCCCCCATGATTTGAAGGGTCACCGTTAGCCAGGTTCTCCCCCATCCCCCGCCTCCAATGCGTTCACTGGCCACGCCCTCATTTGTTAATTTCTGATGGCTTATGTTCCAAATTAATAATAGCAACAGATATAATTTATTTTATTTCTTTTCATTTTTTAGAGATGGGGTCTTGCCATGTTGCCCAGTGTGATCATAGCGCATTGCAGCCTCAAACTCCTGGGCTCAAGCAATCCTCCAGTGTAGCTGAGACTGCAGGCATGCACCACCGTGCCCAGGCAGATCTAATTTTTTGAAAGCTTGCTCTATTACAGGCACCTGTTAAAGCATGTTTCCTGCAGGCCCAATCTCACTTTACACTCATAATTATGAGATGAGGTTGTAGCTCCGCCACTTCCTGGCTGTGGGACTTTAGATAAGTTACTTCAGCTCTCTGAGCCTGTCTCCTCACCTTTAAAATGGGGACAAGCATAGTATTATCTTTTTTTTTTTTTTTTTAAGACAGAGTCTCGCTGGGCGCGGTGGCTCACGCCTATAATCCCAGCACTTTGGGAGGCTGAGGCAGGAGGATCACAAGGTCAGGAGTTCGAGATCAGCCTAGTCAACATAGTGAAACCCCGTCTCTACTAAAAAAAATACAAAAATTAGCCAGGTGTGGTGGCACGCACCTATAGTCCCAGCTACTTGGGAGGCTGAGGCGGGAGAATTGCTTGAATCCAGGAGGCGGAGGTTGCAGAAAGCTGAGACCACACCATTGCACTCCAGCCTGTGAGACAGAGTGACACTCCATCCCCACCCCCCACCCACCCCCAAAAGAAAGACAAAGTCTCGCTCTGTCACCCAGGCTGGTGTGCAGTGGTGCCATCTCAGCTCACTGCAACCTCCGCCTCCTGGATTCAAGCAATTCTCTTGCCTCAGTCTCCTGAGTAGCTGGGATTACAGGCACATGCCACCACGCCCGGCTAATTCATTGATTTTTTTTTTTTTTTAATTCTACAGAGAAAAGTGTAGACGTGCATTCTGTGAATTTTTATGCGTTTAGAAATGGCATTGTTACATTATGTCATGCTATCTTGATTGACAGAACCGCCCCGCCAGCCCACTGAAACCAGATAAGGAGATAGGTCACACATTTAGATTTTTAATTAATATAGCTCTTCTTGCTAATGTTTAATTCCACCCACCTGCATCAGCACTTGACTCCAACTTTCAATTTTTTAAAAATTGAAAGTGATTAATTTTGTTGTCAGCTCCCATAGCCATGGATTCTTTTCTCCATGGATGAGTTTGGGTGAGTATGAGAATGGGATCTATCTTAAAAGCTTTTTGGAATTTTTTGTTGTTTCAAAATACTGTTTGAATTTTGGAATTTGAGTCAGTTCCAGATAACCGTGAATCCCAGATCTGAGTGACAAGCTGCCGTGGTTTGATTCTATGCTAAGGTATTTCACTGTGTAGAAGGCTGCAAAACATTGCATCCATGCACTTTGGTTCTTCAGGAATTCCTTCATCAAAAATAAAACGAATCCAGCGTCTGCTACTGTGACATGCGTTTGTGGCCAACAGTGTCTTCTAGATTCCAGTACTAAGTTTCAGAGGGCAATCAGGAAGCTGATTTCTGATCAGAGAGGGGTGAGGAGCTGGCTAGGGGAATATAACTATGGTCATTTACTATCTGAACTCATCTTCTTTATATATGACTGCACCAGGAAGTTAACTATTCACATTGGAAATAATACAGTGAAATTTGATCACTGAACTAACAGAAATGGTTTAACTGGTTAATCAGCTTCTTTCCTTATCTTCAAAGTCACCTTCTCTCTTCCATTTTGGAAAGTAAACAGAGTACTTATAAGAAGTTGGGCGGGCCCGTCGGGTCATTCTAATATCTCTGTTTTGATAGAATCACCGGGAGGGCAAAATGAAGGAAGAAGAAGACAATAGCCACCTCATCCTATCACAGGGAGATCAAGGAAGCCATTTGACCCTGTCTTCAGATGCAGGGTCTAAAACGTGGACTTTTGACATTCTCTCTACATGAGGTCATCCTCAGAGTCACAGAGAAAACACTGGTAAGAAGATGGGAAGATGACATTCCTCATGCCCTTTTTTTTTTCTCCTCAAAATATTCCTGTGATCTTTTATTTACCCTCATTTATAATACAGATGACTATATTAAGTACAAACAGAACTTCATGCTTGTTCTTAGCTCCTGAGTGTTCTGTGTTCTATTTTCACCTTTTATGATGAAAATTCTCAAGCATGTAGAAAAGCACAGACAGCAGTTTCTATCTCTATGCGTGCACCCATTGCCTGGATAGGATCATGGTTCACATGCTGCCGTATTTGCTTCATCCATCATTGATTTTTCCCTTGAAGATTTCACATTACAGACTTTGGGAATGTTTGTCACTAGATCTCTCAGGCTGCATCTCCAAAACAATAGGGAGGACTTTTTTAAACAACCACATTTTTCCCAGAAATATCTTTTACAGCTGGTTTATTCAAAGCAGAATCTAATCAAGGCCCATACGTTACATGTGGTTGTTTGTGGTTGTTATATGTCCTATGTGTCTCTCTCCTTTCTTTCTTTTTTTTTTTTTTTTGAGATGGAGTTTTGCTCTTGTTGCCCAGCCTGGAGTGCAATGGCGTGATCTCAGCTCACCACAACCTCCACCTCCCAGGTTCAAGCGATTCTCCTGCCTCAGCCTCCTGAGTAGCTGGGATTACAGGCATGTGCCACCACATCCGGCTAATTTTTGTATATTTAGTAGAGATAGGGTTTCTCCATGTTGGTCAGGCTGGTCTCGAACTCCGAACGTCAGGTGATCCACCTGGCTTGGCCTCTCAAAGTGCTGGGATTACAGGCATGAGCCACTGCACCTGGCTCTCCTGTGCCTCTTTTAAAATCTAGACCAGGCGGGGTGTAGTGGCTCATGCCCGTAATCCCAGTAGTTTGGGAGGCCAAGACGAGAGGATCACCTGAGGTCAGGAGTTTGAGATCAGCCTGGCCAACATAGTGAAACCCCGTCTCTACTAAAAATACAAAAATTAGCCGGGCATGCTGAGCACACCTGTAGTCCCAGCTACACAGTAGGCTGAGGCAGGAGAATTTCTTGAACTTGGAAGGCAGAGGTTGCAATGAGCCAAGGCCACGCCACCGCACTCCAGCCTGGGTGACAGAGCGAGACTCTGTCTCAAAAGATAATAATAAATAAAAATAAAATCTAGACCAGCTCTCCCTGCCACCCTGCTTTTTTTTTTATGACATTCACTTTTTTTTTTGAGACAGGGTCTCTCTCTGTGCCCAGACTGGAGTGCAGCAGTGTGATCACAGCCCACTGCAGCCTCTACCTCCTGGGCTCAAGCAATCCTCCCACCTCAGACTCCCAAGTAGCTGGGACCACAGGCGTGTGCCACCATGCCTGGCTTTTTTTTAATTATTAATTTTTTATTTATTTATAATTTTTAATATTATATATTATGTAGTATATACTATATAGTATATTATATATAGTATATAGTATATATTATCAAAAATTATGTTTTTTATAATTTTTAATTAATTTTAATTAATAGAGATGGGGTTTTGCCATGTTGTCCAGGCTGATCTTGAACTTCTGGGCTTAAGCAATTCTCCTGCCTCAGCCTTGCAAAGCACTGGGATTACAAGTATAAACTACCTTGCCTGGCTGGAATTCTGTGACACAATAAGGAAAAACTTCAAAAACATTATACTAAATTAAGGAAGCCAGACAGGGGTCTCACTATATTGCCCAGGCTTGTCTTGAACTCCTGGACCCAAGCAATCCTCCTGCTTTGGTCTCCCACAGTGCTGGGATTTTAGGCATAAGCCACAGTGCTTGGCCTGACGTTAACTTTTTGAAGAGCTTAGACCAGTTGCTCTGTACAATATTTCATCATCAGGAAGATTTTGTACAATTTTAAAAGTGGGTCTCATCACTGGACCACAGTGTACAGCACAAATGAATTAATGTTTCTTAAAACTATCTTTGGCTGGCCAGGCATGGTGGCTCAGGCTTGCAATCCTAGCACTTTGGGAGGCCAAGGCAGGCAGATCACTTGAGGTCAGGAGTTCGAGACCAGTCTGGCCAACATGGTGAAATCCTGTCTCTACTAAAAATCCAAAACTTAGCTGGGCATGGTGGTTCCTGCTGTAATCCCAGCTACTCCTCGGGAGGCTGTGGCACGAGAATCACTTGAACCCGGGAGGTGGAGGTTGCAGTGACCCAAGGTTGTGCCACTGCACTCCAGCCTGGTCAACAGACTGAGACTCCATTCAAAACAAACAAACAAACAAAACTATCTTTGACTAGCACAATTACGTTACTTTTTTTTTTAGAGTTTTTTTGGTTTTCTTTTTTTGCCTTTTTTGGGGGTTTGTTAAAAGTTATGATTGAAAACTGTACACATTTAGCATATCACACAGTTTTGATAATATATCACACAGAATATCTCCTTTAAAATTTTTTAATATCTCAAGAAATGGAAGTAACTGGGCCTCCTGTGTTCCCGATAGCCACTGATTATATATACTCAAAAGTAACCGTGATCAGCCTGGGCAACAAAGCAAGACTCAATCTCTACAAAAAATGAAATAAAATAAATTAGCCAGGCATGGTGGTGCACGCTTGTAATCCCAGCATTTGGGATGCTGAGGCAGGAGGATCACTTAAGCATAGGAGTTCAAGGCTACAGCGAGCTATGATTATGCTACTTCAGCCTGAGCAACAGAACAAGATCCCGTCTCTGAAAAAAAAAAAAGTATCTTGCGGTTCATGTTCTCTGTAATCATCATTAGATGTCTGCCACTCCCAAATCCATTCTTCATTTCCATTCCTGTACTATAGTCATTATTGCAGCCAGAGCCCACTGCCCTCGGGCATGTTGCTTGCAATATGAATTTGTTTCCAAGGCCGCCTAGCTGTTTCAGCCAGGGTTCTCCAAATCTGCACATGTACCTTCCTAAGGCTATGACAATCATTTCCTGGAGATTAAGCTGAATTATTTGGCCAGTAGCTCATGGCTCTTTTTTCCCTTGTCACCTTAATTTCATGCCAACCTTGTGTGGGATGGTGAGTTTTCCTCCTTCAATACAAAAGCCCTCTGCTTGCCAGGGGTTTCGATTTTAATCTGTGTTGACTGGGAGGATTATTTGATTTGAAGAGATCAGCTGAACTGCCCCACACTGGAAGACCTGCCTGACCAGCCTGCACAATTATGAGATATATAGGTGGTTGTATGAAGCCATTAAGTGTTGAGGTGATTTGTTATGCAGGAAACAAAGCTCTTTCTCTCTCTCTCTTTTTTTTTTTTTGAGACAGGGTCACACTCTGTCACCCAGGGTGGAGTACAAAGGTGCAATCACAGCTTACAATAGCCTCAAACACTTGGACTCAAGCGATCCTCCCACCTTAGCCTCCCAAGTAGCTGGAACTATAGGGGCACACCACCATTCCTGGCTAATTTTTATTTTTTTATTTTTTTGCAGAGACAGAGTCTCACTATGTTACTCAGACTGGTCTCAAACTCCTGACCTCACCTGTCCTCTTGCCTTAGCCTCCCAATGTGCTAAGATTACAGGCGTAAGCCGCCATGCTGGGGCCAAGGGGAAGCTCCCCCTATAGGCAGAATTGGGCTATTTTTTTTTTAAATTTATTTTATTTATTTATTTATTTATTTATTTATTTATTTATTTATTTTTTGAGACAGAGTTTCGCTCTCATTACCCAGGCTGGAGTGCAATGGCATGATCTTGGCTCACCACAACCTCTGTCTCCTGGGTTCAAGTGATTATCCTGCCTCAGCCTCCTGCGTAGTTGGAATTACAGGCATGCACCGCCACGCCCGTCTAATTTTGCATTTTTAGTAGAAACAGGGTTTCACTATGTTGGTCAGGCTGGTCTTGAACTCCTGACCTCAGGTGATCCACCCGTCTCAGCCTCCCAAAGTTACAGGCATGAGCCACTGCGCTCGTCAGGCTTTCTAATCAGCACTCCCCACTTCTCCTATTGCAGAGAAGGAAGCAGATGCCCTACGGGGCCCATGTATAGTCACCCAACAAAATGTACTGGACAACTGCCATGCACCAGCCATTGGAGTAAGCACAGATACAGCCCCTGACTTTGAGTGTTCGAATAGAGGAGATGGTAGTAGTCAAGTAGACAGATATTAATCATTCAGTAAATAATGCTCGAGCTCTGCCATGTGCTAGATACTATTCTAGATACTATTCTAGACAGGAGATAGAGCAATGAATGAAGAAAGCCCCTAATCTCATGGTGCTCACATGGGGTGGGGGCCGGGGGGCGGTAAGGGAAAGGAGACAGATAATCAACAAAATAATCTAAGTAAAATGTATAATGTGTTAGATACTGGGAAATGCTATGGATTTTTTTTTAAAAGTAGAGAGAGGAACCAATGCTGATGGGTAAGGATTGCCATTTTATATCCAGAGGTCAGTGAAGGTCACAGAGAAGGTGATTTTTATTTATTTTTATTTTTTATTATTATTATGTTTTTTAGACTTGAGTCTCACTCTATTGCCCAGGCTGGAGTGTAGTGGCATGATCTCAGCTCGCTGCAACGTCTGCCTCCTGTGTTCAAGCAATTATCCTGCCTCAGCCTCTCGAGTAGCTGGGATTACGGGTGCTTGCCACCACGCCCAGTTAATTGTTGTACTGTTAGTAGAGACAGGGTTTCCCCATGTTAACCAGGCTAGTCTTGAACTCCTGACCTCAAGTGATCTGCCCACCTTGGCCTCCCAAAGTGCTGAGATCACAGGCATGAGCCACCACGCCCCACTGAAGGTGATCTGAAGGAAGGACAGAGCAAGGGAGGAGGGGGGGCATGGAATATGGGGGAAGTGCCCCAGACCGAGGGCACAGCCAGTGCCAAGGTCCAAAGGTAGAGCCTCCTGGGGGACTCGTGGAGCAGCGAGGAGGCTGGTGTGGCTGGAGGAGCCAGCCAGGGGGAGAAAGTAGTGGAGCTGTGGTCAGGAGTCAAGGGAGGCAGAGATCGTGGGGATTCAGGCGTCACCTGAGAGTGCACGTGAGCTATGTTGTCCAGCCTACACTTCCATGACATCACTCAGCCTGCTGTGTGGAGAACAGGGCATGGGGCAGGAGGCAGCTGAGGAGTTAGCATCACGTCCAGATTTGGACCA